AAGAGTTGCTTCTTTTTCGGTACTTATCTTCTTCTACGTTCAATTTCTTTTTGATCTTCTAACGGTTACACAAATTAATTACATTTTTAGTCTCGTGATTTTAAGTATCATATTATTGTAATTCCTGTATTTATGATGTCCCACGTTGGTTGGGGAGAAGAACAAATCATCATTATATAAATAGTGTGGAAACCTTCCTGTAACAGACGTGTTTTAAAGCCTTGAGGGGAGCCCAAAAGGGGAAAGACTAAAAAGGAAATATCTGCCGACACAATCGCACTTTTAAAGGCAGCGGACTAGCGATTGTGCGGCACTCACTTTCCAACGACAAGTGACCTAAGTCAATTTGTTCTTGCGTCGCCTACGGCCAAGCAACGTATGATCGAGCCTCTAGCCTCGGTTTTGAAAGAAGGTTTAGAAAACGAGGATAGAGAGAGATTTTAGAAAGAGAGATTTTTGAAAGAGACCTTATATAAAGCAAGCAAGAGAGAGATAACAACGACTTAGCATATATAACCTTGGGTAGGGAGAAGTTGACGGGATCTAGATCGCTCTTAATTTATGTCTATCGTTAATTTTTCAATTTTAAAAATTTTAAAAATTTATAAATTGACTTATATCTAATAAATCAATTAATTTTTTTAAAAAATCAAATTTATCAAGGAGTTTATAAATAATAAATTAAAAATTAAAAGTACATCAACTGAAGTTTTAATTTAATCTAAAAATTTATTATGATTTTGCTAACATTGAATTCATGAAAAAAAAATTCTCTTAGAGCCAAAAATAAAAATCATATATTAAACATATTATGAGTCAATTATAATATTCGATCTAATCTATACATCTTTACATAATCGAATTTGATTCTCCATTTAACTTCGCGGCAAGAACATTCAATCTTGGCGTTTAAATTTGTTCTCTTTCTCTAAGAAATTGTACTTTTCATTCTTAATTATTAAAAAAAAAAATGAGTAATATTGGTTCGTGTGAAGTAGTATAATAATCTTTTTCATTTTGGTTTGGGTGTCATTTTTATTAATCTCTCGACATTACAGGAATATATTCACATCGACATTACCATTTGTCACAATCGCACTTTTTTGACCGGGGACTTTTATGATTATAGGACGCTCACTTTCAACACCTAGTGAGTCAAGCCAATTTAAATTTGTATCACCTACGTCCCGGCAACGTATGCTCAAGTTTCTAACCCGATTTTCATAAAGGAGTTTGAAAGCAAATGTATAACACTATGAGCATATTATTTTTTGGGTTGGAGAATCTGACAACTTAGCACGTACAAGAACACAAGGCAAAATCAACAGCCCATTTTGTGATGTATACTTGGACAAAACTTTTGTAGCAAAAAGGAAGAGATAAATTATGATTGTCCCAAACACCATATCTGTGTCAGCTTTGAGGGCAAAATCATTGCTTTTGCCGACTCAACAAAAGCCACACAGTTTCTTTCAAAAGTTGGATATTAAGTTGTAAAAATCTTTCTGAACTACTAGAAATTTCGGGTTGGTGACTCAATCAACCAGAATAAAAGAGCCCACATAACCAACTATAGTCCACCTCTATTTTTAAGTTGGGTTGTAATGGTAGGTTGGTGGGGTTGACTCCAAAAAAATGTCTCCCTTGTCCCTGATTTCACTCAGTCAACTCGGTCTCTTTCATTGAATTTGATTCTGCTTTCAAGACTCTTGAAATGAAAGAAAGATATGTCCTCCCCTATTTGATTTTGAGGGCCATTTTTTAGGTAATTACATACGCTGGATGAGAAGAAGATCAAGTTCATTCACCTATCGGTCTCATTGCTTCGCTCCTTCACCTATCAGCAAGTGAATGACTGATCCTTTTGCGCCAGTATTGTTGCGAGACTGGTACTTGGCGGCTCACAAGCAACATATAAACTGACGGTTGCCCATCACCTGCTCTCTTTTTCAAGCCCTTTCTATTCTCTTTCTAGTATGGTTCCCCTATAATCACACTGAACGCCGAGCTTCGGAGAGCTTCTCTCTCCCCAGCCCACAGCATAGTGTGAAATCAGGATCCTTTCATCGAGCACCATTTTCTTTTATCTCTCAAGGTGTTCTAACTCTATTTATTGGATCAAGTCATAACCTACGCCTGAGACTAGTATACTACTATGGAGAGACTAAGCTCTATTTCAGAGATTGGACTCTCTTCCCCTACCCTACTATTAAGTAAGGACCCTACTATTAAGAAGCTCTTCCCGAGCCAGGTTTCCTGGATCCACGTGTTTCTAGTTGGGTCTAAATGGATTAATGAAGAAGGAGGCAGGCAGCAATATAAAGAAAGAAGCCTGGCGACACACACCTCTTTTTAACCAACTAAAGCCGGATCCACTACACGGCTAGAATTAGAGAAAGATTGAGAAAGAAACCCCAAACTTACAAATTAATCCGAATTAAATTGAGTAGTCTAGATTGCTCGGGTCTTTTGGATCAATTGAATACCCGTAATTATACCAAATTCCTTTTATCATTGTTGGGTTCCATTTTATAATTTATGTTTACCATTTTTCAATTTCATCCCAAAAATTTTAATTAGCAATTTCTGGTATCATTAAAACTTTTTAATTACAAAATTTAAAATTATAGTGTAGATATTTGAAGAGGGGATAAAATTAAAAGGTTTACAATATTATATTCAAGGCAATAATTGAAACTGCTTTTGTACAAACCTTTTAAAGTATGGTACGGACCATTATTAATTGAATGGAACAAAGAAAATAGAGAGGAATCAAACTAGAAACTTAAATTTAAATTCGGAAAAGAAATTAAATTTTATGTTTTGTAATTGTTCTACCTGGCAACAACTGTTTTTTTAGTTTAGCAATCATTAATGTTTCAGATAATTGGTGTCTTATTCCATCATCTTGTATCGCCGTCAGCCTCATAGTTTTAAAACCATCTACTAGGAAGAGTTTTCGCGTTTTTCACATGAAGGAATATTTCATTCACCTCTCTAACCGATGTGGGATTTCACAATTCATCCACCCCTTGGGAGCCAGCGTTCTCGCTGGCACACTGCTCAGTGTTCGGCTCTGATACCATTTGTAACATTCCAAATCTACTACTAGTAGATATTGTCTACTTTGGTCTGTTACATATTGCCGTTAAAGTCAAGATTTTAAAACATGTCTACTAAAGAAAGGTTTCGTTCTCCTCTCTAATTGATGTGAGATCTCATCATTTTTTAACTTTTATATTATCAAAATCATTCTCATTCGAATATGGTGTCAGTTTATTCATATACCTCTCTTTTACTCGAAGGTGATACGTTTGAACAAGAAAGCAAACCCTATTCTTCTTCTTCATCATCTGTCTGAAATAAAGAATAAAGAAAGATGAAGACAATTAAATAGCACACAAAGGAAAGAAAGAAAGAAAGATAGCCACAAAGTTCTGAACGAAATTAATGAGAGCACACAGATGAATAAAAGCAATAACAAACCACTGACATATGGTAACTGGGGGTTCTTCATTTTTGGAGTAATGTAAGCAGTGTTGAAAACGAAAGACAATGCAGAAACCAAAATGGGGCGAAAGCCAGATGGTTTGATGGTAGCATGGATGGACCACCACTCACAGGGTATCATTCTGTTTAATCTATAAACTACGGCCGCCTCATCCACAAATCTAGGACACCCAACACAACAACAAACAACACGCCAACAACACGCCAACACGCCAACACGCCAACCATTGAGTGACAAATACAGAAAAGAGTAACCAAAAATGGTGTTGGTTTTAGTTGAAATGAAGTGAGACTATATTGGCATCTCTAGACAAAAAGAGAGGCAAAAAGAGAGTAAAAGAAGGAGACATTGCATTTAACAATGACACTGCGAAGCGTGGCAGCCGATCCCATATACATTCATTCATTCATTCACTCATACATACACAAAAGCTTCACACGACAGCGACCCATCATCTTCCATCACCAACCAAACCACAAAACCCTAATTCCACCAAAGATCAAATTTTTTAATTTACTTTATGTATAATGTCTGCGTTTTGTTTAAAGCTGAGAGCACCAAACTTCTGTTCTGACCCATTTCAAAAAGAGGGGTTATTAATAAATGCATCACAGGCTCACGTTTTGGTGTTCTTCATTTCTAGGGTTTGGACCATTTTTTAATCCTATGCTCTATCTTCTTCATAACATTAAATCTTCAGCTATTCAATTTTCATACTTCTCAATACAAAACTTGCTTTCTATAAATTCTCTTTTGAACGGGTTGGTTGAGGATTGTTGAGAGAGGAGCCCCACATTGAATAATTAAAGAGAAGATCATGGATTTATAAGTAAGGAATACTATCTCCATTGGTAAGAGGCCTTCTCGGAAAACAAAAAACAAAGTCAGGAGCAATTATGCTCAAAGTGGACAATATCATACCATTGTAGAGAGTTTCAGTTTCTAACATATTATCAAAGTCATGTCATTAACTTAGTCATGTCAATAGATGAAATTGAGTCTCGATTAAGGGAAGGTTGTTCAAGGAATCCATAGTCTCTCTCCCTTGAGATGAGATTTGTTGGAGAAACAGATATCATTGCGAAATGTCGTGGTTTCCAACCCCTTCTTAATACATGTAACAGGGAATTCAAACTGAATTTTCTGAGTAGAATTCGTAGGGATTGAGTTCCTCACGAAGATTTTTTCCATATATATATATATATATGAAAGTGGAGCGAGACAAAGTGGCAATAGAGCTGAATCGAGGTTAGGGACAAAGTGGCAATAGAGCTGAATCGAGGTTAGGGATGGGGATGGATAATGTAATCTCTCCCCAGTCCATTCCCATTCCTAGTTAAAACAGGGATTTCCTTCCCGGTTCAAAACGAGTCTCGAATAGGAATCTCTAATTAAAATATCCACTTTACAAAAATTACTTTTATCAAAAAATTATCTGCACATATTAATTTTTTTACCGTTTTTCTATTTATTAAAATGAAAAACTATATTAACCACACTCTAAGGTAATAATTTTTATTTGTTTAGGTAATCTTAATCACTGAGCAAAAAGGCCACCATCCCTTAAGTCACAACCCAGTTGGGTGCCAAAAAGGGTCCAAATGGAGACCCAAAGAAGAGATCAAAGGGACAGCCCTAAACTCAGTGATCCTAACCCTCACAACATAACCAGAAACCACCCCAGTTTTAATCCGATGCAGCCGCTTATACCCAACGCTGCTCTCATCCACAATCTTCTTTCCATCCAAATAAATCTCATGCCGTCTGATCCTCTGACCAAGTCCTATGGCTTCTTGGATCCTTATCACATTGAATCTCAGCGCTTGATTCTGCTGACTTCTGATCTCAATCCAATGCTCACGGCCAGCATCAGCATCAGCTTCCACGGGTGCCCAATAAGTCCATAAGTGGTCACTGTCCAACACATTTTCAGGCCCAAACCCTCCCTCTTTGCCTCCCCTTTGGCTACTGGCTTTGACTGAGCAATTGTGAGCCAAGTTAGTGGTGAAAATTGTGTCAATGGCTGCCTTGAATTGCTTGAGGGTGTCGGCGTCTTCTTGGGCTATTAGACCTGTGGAATTGGGAGGCACATTGACGAGAAGAACACAGTTTCTTCCCACTGAGTTATAGTATATGTTTAGGAGTTCATTTAAGCTTTTTGGGGACTCTGATTTGTGCCAAAACCATCCCTTTCTTATGGATACATCACATTCTGGTGGTACCCAATGTGTCCCTTTTGGGTCACCTTTGTTTAGGTACCTGCAATTTTCAATTTGTGAATCTTTCCACTTTGAAGCTTTTCTCAAAGTTTTAAAATGTGTATGCTAGAGAGAGGTTAAATGTTTCTTTCCGTCTCCAATTGATATTGGATCTCACATCCCACCATTTTAGGGGTACAACATCCACTCCGCCCAATACTGACGTGGGATTGGGCCGATCTCACAATTCACCCCTGAGAGGCCAGCTCGGAAGAGGTTGAATGTTTCATTTCCTCTCCAATTGATGTGTCATCTCACAATCCACTTTCTTAGGGGTCAGCATCCTCACTCGCACACCGTCCGGTGCATATGTGGGATCTCAATTCACCCCTTAGGGGCTAGCATACTCGCTGGCACACCGTCCGACCGATGCTGATGTGAGATCTCACAATCCACCTTTTTAGAGATCCTACCCGATGTATGGCTATGATAATACTATTTGTAATAGCTAAATCAAATATATTGTCCTCTTTTGACTTTTTCAGACTTTCCCTCAAAGTTTTAAAAGGCATCTATACAGGTTTTCACACCCTTTGACCTTCTCCAACCAACATGATATCTTATAAAAACACTTACTCGGAAATGCCTTCTGCTCCTATGGCAAGCAAAGTTCGGTTGATCGTTGACCAGCACGGCATCCCTGCAAACCCTTTCTCGTTTCCAACCCATCGGATGTCCGGTCCAGCATCGGAAAATATGTTGATGGAGCTCTGCAACTCCTTCACCATTGCAAACCAGTCCGAGAAGTAATATGACATGTTTGGAGCATTCTGACCTTTGGCTCCATCAAACCAAATCTCCCTCACATTCCCATATCTAAAATAACATTCAAAATCAAGAGGTTAGATAAAGCACAAATTTTTATGATTCGATTTGATAATAGTTAAATTGGGTTAATCTCACTTTTGGAGAAGCTCTTGTAACTGGGCCAAGTAGTACTCATTATAAGGCAAATCATGGCTATATCTCCGATCATGTCGATCCCACGGTGATAAATACAGCCCGACATCGACGCCGTGGGCGGTGGCGGCGCTGACGAACTCCTTAACGACGTCTCCTCGGCCGTCCTTCCAAGGGCTGCGGACGACGGAGTGGGTGGTGTATTTGGAAGGCCAAAGGCAGAAGCCGTCGTGGTGCTTGGCGGTGAGAATCATGAGGGAAATTCCGGCAGCGGCGGCAGTGGCGGCCCATTGGGCGGGGTTGAGAGAAGTGGGATTGAAGAGGGCGGGGGACTCAGCGCCAGTGCCCCATTCGGAGTCGGTGAAAGTGTTGGGTCCAAAGTGGAGGAACATGATGACTTCTCTCTGTTGCCATTTCAATTGGGAGAAGGAAGGGAGTGGGAGGATTGGCAATGGCGGCGGTGTTGAAACCTCGAGCTTGGGAGAAGAGAAATGGAGGATATGGAGAAATGTGAGGAAGAAGATGGAGGAAAAAAGGTGACCCTTTTCTGCCATGGACGGTCTCGTGAAGTTGTTTGTGTGTGTGTGTGTTCTTTAAGCAGAGGAATGTGACAGAATTGATGAGAGTGGGAAATTGAGGTAGTGGGTAGTGGGGAAAGATTCTTTTGCATATATGAACAATTGTATCACAATGATTAATAAGTTGTTTCACTCTAAATTCAAGAATTGTGACACAAAATGCAACCACCCAACTAGCCTTTAGAATTTAGATTCGGATTGACGGACGCATATAGCCATATTATTTACTCATTCATAATAGAATTGATTTAAGCAAAACACGCTCAACTAAAAACTTCAATAATTGAGCTATTAGATGAACGACTTTCAATTGTTTTAATTATTTTTTAGAACCACTCAAGAACCAAGTGAAAAGGGTTGTGCGAATGTGATTGGAATTTGGAGGTAGTGGTTGAGAATGGTGGTTCTGTGTTGGGGGATGTGCAGCCAGTCACGGGGGGTTTGGAATGTGGTTCGCTCGTGAAGGATCCCACAAAATTTCAAATTCAGTCCTTTTAATTTTACTTTTTATTTATTTATTTATTTACTAAAAATAACCACTTGTTTTGATTCTCTTAATCAATGATTGTAGTGCATTTGAATGGTCATGATTTTAAGAACCCCACAACCAATTTTCATTACAGGTTTGAATTCCCATAATCATATTTGAAATAAACTTTAAAAAATAGTTTAAAAATTCCGATTGGTATTTTTTTATTAAATTAATCCGACCCACTAAAAAATAGGATTAAAACTCTAACTAATTAACAATATTTAAAGTTTGTGTAACAAATGTTAGTGGTTTGTTGCAATTTGTAAATGTTTCATATTTGAAGTGTATGAAATTTTATGTGAGATCCACCTCGCTTGGTTGCAGAATACGAAACATTTTTTACAATAATGTAAAATTTTTTCTTAATAGATGCATTTTAAAATTGTGAGATTGATAGTGATGCGTAACGGCCCAAAGTTGATGATAACTTTTTTTTATTATTATTTATAACTATTTATCTCAACTCGAACTACCTATTGATAATGAAATGTGTCGATATTCATTTATAAACCTGATCTATCTATATCGATGTGGACCATATTCATAATATTCATAGTTCATATCTTCATTTCTAATACAGCTAGAACTTTGTTATATCAACGATTCCTTCGCTAAACAACAAATCTCTTTACTATAGCCCCACACTGTTTATAAGACAAATATGCACTACTAATTTCAATATCTTATCCTAATTTCCTTCCTTTAGGACCTTTATCACGTCATATACTGTTGGTAAATCCGTGAATAAATGTTGTTTTTTTTGTATTTTTATGTTCTTTTAAACTTTAAAAATCATATAATATAATAAAATTTTAAACTTTTAATTGTGCGTGTATCTGTAAATTTTAAAGTATATTAAAGACAAATTTGATTCCAAATTAAAAATTTATATTAGATATCTTTTAATCGTATGGATGTAAAACTTTTTTAAAAAAATATGATTATTAAATTCTTTGACACAAAGTTCAAAATATTTAAAATTTGGAGTTTGGACCAAAAAAAATTGACTGAAGGTCACGTTTTTATCATGTTTTCTACATAAATGAAAAGAAAAAATATTGAACTTTATTATTTTCTTAAAAAAAATGTGATATAGAAATAAATAATTTGGTAGGATTGCAAGTATTAAAATGTAATATTCAAGTAAAATAATGATACATAAAGATAATATTTGAACATGAAAATGGTTAATATTTTGTTTTAAAAATACTATTCAATTTTATAAAAGGATCAAAATTATCTTTGAATTTTATAAATTTTTATTAATACTTTTAAACGTTTTTTTTTAAAAAAATTAAAAAATATCTCTACTTTTTACTACAAATTTTTAAAAATACTCTTGATCATTTTATAAATTTTTATTAATACTTTTAAACGTTTTTTTAAAAATAAATTCAAAAATATCTCTATCTTTACTAAGTTTTAAAAAATACTCATAAACTTTCAAAAACATCATTAAAAAATTTAGAGATAATATATGAGATATCAATAAATATTTTCGTTTATATATTTATGATAAGAATTTTTTAAATTTAAAAATATATATATATATATATATATATATATATATATATATATATATATATATATATATATATTAATGCTAATTTAAAAATCTTATGTGTATTTTTTAGTTTTATAAAAAAATAATATTAATAAAAAAATTTAAAATTCAAAGATATTTTCGAAAATATTTTTTAAATTTTTATTAAAATTTAAGAATATGTCTATTTCTAAATATATATATATATATATAGCTTTTTATAGCTTTTTAAGTAAAAGAAAATTTCAGTATATGGTCTATTACAAGTAGAAAAAAAGAGTTGAATTTTTTAATTCAAAAAGTTGGTAGCCAATCATTTTCTTCTTATCCCCTTTAATATTTAACTACTTAGGTACTTTCCACGTATTTTTTAAAGTTTGAAAAATAACTAGGTAAAAGCTTATATATTCCGTAGTGTTATCCTATATTATTATTAAATACTAATAAATTGTATTTAAGCCAATAATAATATTTGTTCATAAAATGAATATATGAGGATCTGTTATTAAAAAAAAATAAAGCTAATCGAATTTTATTTCTTTTCATTTTTCTTAACATTTTTGTATTTCTATTTTATTTAGATATTACAAAAATGTTATCGGAGGTTAAAATATTAATAAAATTATATATTTATTTATTAAAAAAGATCGTTGACCGATCGACCGTATTCACGTATGGCTAGTGAATGCGCTTTTTTCTTTTTTTTTTTTACTTAAATTATTTTATTTATTTCTATATATGATACTACAAAAATGAAATTGAAAATAAAGGGAAAAAAATAAAAGCAAAGTAGATAAGGATGGGGAGCGCCCATGGTTTTTTATTATTTATTTATTTATTTCCTTTCCTTTTTGACTTCAGATGGCAAATGTACTTTATAATATGCCATTATTATAAAAATAAATAAATAAATAAAAAGAAGAATCCAGATTCATGGAACTCCATGTGGTAGAAATCATTGTCGCCCACGTGGCTAGGCAACCCCGCACACCGATTACACAATACGCTGCCGCCGTGGCATTGGCGACCCCTTATTTCTTTCATAATCACAAGGCACACTATCTTTTTTTTTTTTTTTTTTTTTTTTTTTTTTTTTTTTTTTTTTTTTTTTTTTTNTTTTTTTTTTTTTTTTTTTTTTTTTTTTTTTTTTTTTTTTAATATCTAATAAACACAAAATTGAAATTTCTTATATTTATTAATCATAAAAATTAAAATAATTTGTATTAAAATTATCAAAATTAAAAGTAAAAATTGAAATATATATTTAAAAAAAATAAAAAAATTGGGGAAAATAAATATGAACATATGAACTAGTTGGATTTTTCAATTAAAACAATACTTAGTGCTGATCCTGACTTGAACGTTGAAACGGGTCATTTACCGGATCATCAGAAACCGGCCGCTGTTTTCGTCGTCTATAAATAATCTGAAAAAAATGCCGCAGCTTCAGCATTATCAAAATCAAAATCAGCTCTCTAGAAACAGGGAAAGCGAGACGCCAATAAGAAAACAAGGCGACGATTCATCATTTCAATTGCTTTTGCAGATTGATTAGAGCAATTAGAGCCCTAATTTGACGCCGGAGATGATGCTCGTGTCGGTACTAGCGGAGATTCTGGAGGAGTACACGGTGTTGCTTACGGAGGTGCTCCGGCAGCTCTTCCATTCCGCGCCATTTCCTCGCCGAGTCCGATTTCTCATCCTTCACAATCTTCCTTTCGCCAACAACTCCTCCTCCTCCTCCTCTGCCCTAATTCACTCCAATCGACCCAGCGGCGCAGTGGCTTAGGCGATTTTTGTAATTATCTTCTCACACTTGTATTGTATGTTAAATCATAGCACGATTTTCTTCACTTCTTCTTCTTCTTCTGGTTAGATCTGTGCATATGCTTCGTTTATCGATCTCTGGATTGTTCTTCGAATGTGAGATTATGCCGGTTTCGTTCTTTTTAATCTTCTTGGTTCGCGATATCATTTACAATACAGTGTGTTTTGGCGGCTCTTTTGTGGAACCGATTTTCCGATGGTGCAGAATTGGATTGGAGGCAATGGTGTTCTGAGATTTTGGATCTCTGTTTTCCTCTGTCTGATTTGGTAAATGGATTGGGGACTGACGACTGAGCCATGACCACAGATTGATGCACGGATCTTGTTTCTTGAGAAGGGAAGAATGAACAGTTTTCAGTGCAAAATTAGTGTGAGAACTTTGAAGGTTGATGGTCTTATCTAGACAACTCCAGAACCTAGACCACTTTTGAATTATTACCAGCCATTTGCCATGAATTCTTGAAGCTTAAACTGTCAAGTTAAATACCTTCCAATAAATTTATCAACATGTATCAATTGATATCATAAGCTCTCATAATTTAATTCGTTAGAATGTCTCAACATTAAATAATAAAATAGAAGAACATGAATTTAATGAAAAGTTAAGCATTAATGAAAAGTGATTTAAACTTTAATTGATATTGTTCTTAGTTTTTGATTTTAATAGATAAATCTAGGTTTATAACATCTTTGTGAAATTTTAATTTATATCTATTGACTTCCTCAACTTTTGGTTTTATCCTAACAAGATAAATGATTTCTTCACACAGATTTACAATTTAAAAATTTTTAAGTTTCTCGTTGACTATTAAATATTTTTTAAAACTTTAAGAAAATAATAAAAATTCCCTCGTTGACTTTCCATAAACACTTCAAAATAATAAATGTTATTTCATCAGGACTGGGAAGCAAGTAGGTATGTGGTATGTGATTCTTTTGAGTAATTGTTTTGCATTGTTTGTGTCTAATAAGTTTGAGATAGCATTGTCTGAGGCTTCAACTGTTTGCAACGTCTACTAGAAAATGAATGATTCCTAGAGATGCTTACTAATTCTTTCAATATCTTAAGCGTATGCAGTATAGTCCATCCAGCGTATGGGGCATAGCCGATCCAGCGTGCGGGGCCCAGCAACTCAAGCGTGCGTGGCCTAGCCCGTCAAGCGTGTGAGGCCTAGCTGGCAAGCTGTCCCAGCCCATCCAACGTGAGAGTCCCAGCCCACTCCCAGCGTGTGCGGCCCAGCCCACGCCAAGAGGCCCGGCCCAGATCACTCCCAGCGTTCGCAGCCCAGCCCACTCCAACCGTGCGTGGCGCAGCCCATTCCCAGCGTGCACGACAAAGCCCACTCACTCCCAGCGTTCGCAGCCCAGCCCAGCCCTCTCCCAACTTGCACGGCTCGGCCAACTCTCTGAGTGGGCCGCTCAGCGCACTCCCCAAGTTCGCGGCCCAGACCACTCTCAACGTGCACGGCCCAGCCCACTCTCAGCGTGATCGGCCCAGACTAGCCCACTCCCAGCGTGCGCGGCCCAGACCAGTCCCTGCGTGCTCCGCCCAGCCCATCCAGCGCGTGTGGCCCAGACCATTCAGCGTGTCTGACCCTGCCCACTCCAACATGCGCCGCCCAGTCTATTCAGAGTGCGCCGTCCAGCCCATCCAGTGTGTATGGCCCAGCCCATCTAACGTGTGTGGCTAGCCCATCCGGCGAACGTTTGTCGCCCACTCGACGTGGCCTAGCCCACCCGAGCGTTTGTCGCCAGCCCACTTAAGAGTATGCGGCCTAGCCCACTCCAGCGTGTGTCTTCCAGCCCACCCGAATAGAAGAATTATAAAGTTCCATTCCAGACAAGAAAAAAAATGGGAATTATAATGTATTTATTATCTCTTATATCACAATTTATATATTTTTGCAATTTTTCTAATAATTCAGGGTCTTCCAACTTCGTATAAATAAATCCATTTCAACTAATACAGTAATTGTTTTTTGTTATTTTTTTAATTTCATGATTTAATTCTCAGATTTGAATGCAAAGATATTATTAAAACACAGAAAAGTGGATAAGAATATGAATATGAAGTGACTTTGTTTATACGGAGAACATGTGCCCATGCATTTCTTATTTCCATAAGCCACCAAAAGCTTCTTTTTCACTTGAAATTCCTTTCAAATAAAATATATGACTTTTGTTTTTAATTCGTGTGTTGATATGACAAAAGTGGATTACAAGATTAGGTTAAACGATTCTATCAATCACATTCAAATTAATTTAACTCGCCTCATCGCATTGTTGAACTCACATTACTCATGGACCAGGTACTAGACTCGCTAAACTCGTGAGAATATTGGACCAACTGCATACAATCCACTCTAGATAATTATTCATAATCCACCATGAATCTGTTAGGAACAACATACTTTCACAATGATATGATATTGTCCATTTGAAAACATTATAATACTTGTAAACGCATGAGACAAACGACCAAACAAAGAGACCGTGGTGTTTGATTGGAAGAGGAGAGATCGAGAGGGCAAGGAAGAGAGTGAAGCCAAGGCAAGTGATCCAAGGTGGTAATGGGTGAAGTCGTGGGTGAAATCGCGGTTCCTAAGATTGCATGCAGCTTCAACACATAGGTCTTTTTAAACCAACAAATCCCAACAATCTCTAACAAGGCTACCAGCTCAAGTTAGCTCTCTTGAGCCTTTCGATTAGGCTCGATAAACAAACAAATTTAAATTTTCAGTGTAACCGCTCAAGCCTATTACTACCGGATATTATCTTCTTTGGGCTTTCTCTTTCGAGTTTCCGCTTATAATTTTTAAAATGACTCTACTAGTGAGAGGTTTTCACACTCTTATAAAAATACTCCGTCCTCCTCTCCGACCAATGTGGTATCTCACAATCCACTCTCTTCGAGGATAGCATTCATTCCCTTTTCCAATCGACGTGGGAACCCCCAATCTACCACTCCCTTGGAGCCCAGCGTCCTTACTCTAGCACACTGGCTCATGTCCAGGCTCAGCCTCCTCGCTGACACATCACCCAGTGTCTGACTCTAATACCATTTGTAACAACCTAGACTCACCGTTAGCAGATATTGTTCTCTTTGAACTTTCCCTAAAAGTTTTTAAAACGCGTATTCTAGGGAGAAGTTTCCACACGCTTATAAAGAATGTTTCGTTCTCCTCCTCAACCGACGTAGGATCTCACAAAACCCCACAACAGGGTTCACTAACTTATAAAAATATTAAAAGAAAAGGGGCCCTAGCATGAATTTGATATTATTTCTCCATTATCACTACTCAGACAAACACAAGAGAGCAGCAAATGAAGAAAAGAAAAAGACAGACAAATGTTGATTCTGGTGGGGTGTTCCATAATTAATTATTGTCCTAAAAGTAGAACCAAAGAAAAGAAGATGTTTGGAATATATGTTAGTTGTTACCCTCAGCATCAAAGTTCATACCTTTTTGTGTCATAAAAGTTTCCCCTTTTCCCTTAACTCAGTTCACATCACAACATACAGACTCCATAACTTTCTCCCTTCTTCTCAAGGTCTTAAAACATGAATTAAGCCTTCCATCCTCTTCAAACCACTCATATATAAAGAAGAATAGATTTGGATTGAGATCTCAAGAGGATGCCTCTGACACACACGAATATGTTCAAAGGCTGGGGATTTCTTTGAGTTCTTATGCTCTCTCTCTCTTATATAACAAGTTTTTGTGTCTTCATAAATGGCTACCGTTCTCCGAAGAGCAACTTTTGGTTCTGTCATTTATTCGTATTTCCTACGTTGTTTTGGGAATTCCCATAATCATCACAAAAGCTTCAATCGTATCATCTTCAACATGCCAAAACCAAAACCCCTTTCCTTGCAGGTAATACTCTCAAAACCTATTCATTTACTATACTTTCTATGTATTTTCTCTCTTTTTTAGGAGAAATTTGATGAACTTACTCATTTTTTTGGGATGAAAACTGAAAAAAATTCAATCTTTATTTGATGGGGTTTTGAAATTCACCATCTTTTACATGTTTCTTGGCTTTTTTGTGTCAAAATATCATGTGGGTGTTCTTTCAACTTTGAAGAAACTCGATTTCAAAGGTGTAATTCGATAAGGGTTTTGAACAGTGAGATCTCACATTGGATGGAGAAAAGAAAAGAACTAAACATTATTTATAAGAGTGTAAAACCCTCCCTCTAACAGACGCATTTTAAAAATTTGAGAGAAGGCCCAAAGGAGAATAAAAAGATTTAGAAAAGGATTTCGATGTAAGTCGTTAATGGACGTGAGAATTTTGTAGATGTGAAAAGGAATTACAATTTGGTAGAACATGACTTTTTATTAATTCCTTGGCTTATGAGTTAACCCCTTGTAAAAGCTTCTTCTTTTCTAATCAGCAAAAGGAACAAAGGTATAATAATAATATCATAAGAGAATCTATTTCTATCCATTTGCTGAATGTTTTGCCTTTTACAGACTGTTGAGCTAAAAGTCAGGATGTGCTGCAGTGGTTGTGAACGAGTGGTTAAAGATGCGATCTACAAACTTAGAGGTACGAACAAAAAAAAAGTTCATCTTTTTGTAGGAAAATTCTAAAGACACTATTAGGGTTTGTGTTGTTTTGGGTAGGGGTTGACTCGGTCGAAGTGAATTTGGAGCTAGAGAAAGTGACGGTGATCGGGTATGTCGATCGGAACAAGGTGTTGAAGGTGGTTCGAAGGGCGGGGAAGAGGGCGGAGTTTTGGCCTTACCCAGAGCCACCGCTATACTTCACGTCAGCGACTGAATACTTCAAAGATACAACTCGTGAGTTTAAAGAGAGCTATAACTATTACAAGCATGGCTATAATGTCGGAGAGAAGCACGGAGCGATGCCAATGTCTCTTCGGGGCGATGACAAAGTGAGCAACATGTTCAATGATGACAATGTGGATGCTTGTCATGTCATGTAAATATAGGGTTGATGATCTTGTCTTGTTGATTCTAAGTCAGCTGCAGAGTGTGTGTAAAATGCAGTTTAATTGTTCCTTTCTATTCCCTTATATTTGTAAGCATGAGTTTATATTATAAGCAAGTTTGTGTGTTACCAAATTGGAAGGGGTTGCTCTCATTCTTCAAGAACACCACCGATGGACTCGTTATAGTAATTCGTTTTTCAACCTTTTATGAGATAGAGATGTCCATTTTATACGGGTGGACCCGTTCTAAATGGGTAAGAGACAATTTATGAGATAGGCAATTGAAATGTCCGTTTTTTAAATGGTAATTGGTGTCTAGAGATATCTATTTACCTATGGGAACTCGTCCTAAGAAAGGAATTCCCTCGGAAAATAAGAGTAGAAGTGGAAAACATTTTTTTTACCATTGGATAAATAGGGCTGGAGACGAGATTATATTCCCTTCCTCTGTAATAACATAAATATACTTTTCACACATTAATATATAAAAAGTACTAAATTAAAAAAACAATTGATTAATGTGGTAAATTTTTAAAATTTTTAAAAATTATGTGGTAGAATCTTATATATATATTTGTTTATAAAATATATTAATTTATTAGAAGTTTTTTTTTTACAACTTTCTTTTAATAAAAAATAAAAACTTTAAATCATTTTTTTCAAGAATAATAAATAGGTAAAAATTACTTGCGGGAACCCAATCCCCGTAAATTCTCCGCAGGGAATCCCCTCGTTCCCGTAAAAATAAATAAAGAATTTTATGGAGGATGGAGACGGAGAGGGCTTCTTCATCTCTGCCCCACCCGTGAACATCTCTATTAGTCTTCCAATATTAAACAAAATTAAAGCAGAAAATATCCGATATCTACCGAAAAACGTCAATTTGACTTACCAATTTATTATCAACACAATATCTTTAACTAATATGTGTTAGATTAAAAAAAGACAAAACTAAGATATATTTTGACATTATTTATTAATGGTTTTATTTTTCATATTGAAACAAACAGTCACAGACTATATAGCTGGAAAGTACCCAATGGTGACATTTGATTCCACCCTTTGCGATACTCTCGTTGAATTCCACTCCTGAACGAACTCCACAGCAAGTCGAAACACAGTTCCAAGTCCAAGCACCACAATAACTCCTGTTCTTCAACCTTTTCAATAACCATAAAAAGCACCACACGAAACTAGAAACAATAGCTCGATCGATGAAAATCGTCAACGTACCGATGATGATATTTACGGGCAACGCAGAAACACCGAGGGTGATGGATATAAGAATGTCCAGTAACAGACCCCCTATGAGGATGGTAAAAGCCAGCCAAAGTGGACTGAAGCAGTGCTGCTGCATAAAGAGTTACACGAACAAGGTTCGAGTTTTTTGACTACCCATGAAACAAGCATATCATTGAAAACCGAAAGTCTTACCCTTTGGGGTTCTTGATTTCTGTAGGTCGGATCGATCCTCCACATCCAGTAGTTGGTCTGTGCTTCACAAATATACAGAATAATCAAACTTCGGGTTATTCCAATACGATATCCATCCAGCAGGACATCGTAAGTTCAAAACGAATCAATAATTTGAATTTGTAACGCGACACGAGGTTATTTAAAAGTATTCACTATTCCACTTCATAAAAGGAATAATCAGAAGCAAAGATTACAGATGATAATGTCATGATAACTTTTTCATAATGTGGGAAAAGAAAGTACGGAATTGTAGCAAATGCAAAACTAAAACATGATGTTGATCATCTGTAATGGCCCAAGCCCACCGTTAGTAGATATTATTCTCTTTGAGCTTTCCCTTCCGGGCTTTCCATCAAGATTTTAAAACGCGTCTTCTAGGGAGAGATTTCCACACTTTTATAAAAAAAATTTCGTTCCCCTCTCCAACTAACGTGGGATCTCACAATCCACCCCTTGGGGGCCAGCGTCCGGTGTCTGGCTCTGATACTATTTGTAACAGTTCAAGTTCACTGCTAGTAGATATTGTCCGTTTTGGCCCATTACGTATCGTCGTCAGCCTCACGATTTTAAAACACGTCTACTAGGGAGAGGTTTCCACACCCTTATAAAGAATGTTTTGTTTTCCTCTCCAACCAATGTGGGATCTCACAATCTCTTTATGTGATGACGGGCGAGAAACTTATGAAAGATGCTTATACAAGATGTGTGAGACAAGAAGAAGCTTATAAGTTTTAGGATTAGGGATGATGAAGATGGAAAAGGCTAGAAATTGAAAACTAAGCATAATCATAGCAGCAAGAGCTATAGAATACCTACACCATGATGTGATTGTGGAGGTGCTACGTTCTCCGCTACGACCCTGAAAATCGTATCAAAATTACATTTCAAACTGCCCCTCAAACTATATGATTGTGTTAAGTGAATGAATATCATCCTCAAAACGAGCGACTTACTGGCATATCTCACATCTGTTAGATCCTTTAGTATGAAACCAAGTATCTATGCAAGTCCGATGAGCGTTTGCGAGACCACCTCGACAATGACATCCAAGTTCTATCAAGACTTCTTCCTTGTCTTGCTGACAAATTCTGAAATATAGTACAACATAGGTAAGATTGAAAACCAACAGCATTACAATGCCAAAACCCACAAGAAGATGTTAATCTTTTGTTCTTCCATGCAACAAATATGAGTGGAGATATTGTCTTCTTTGGACTTTCTCGTTCGGGCACGCGTTTACTAAGGAGAGGTTTTCATACCCTTATAAAGAACGTTTCGTTCTCCTCCCCAACCGATGTGGGATCTCACATTCAACCTCCGACCTAAGAGGGGGATTAAATGACTTAACTGTTGAACCTCGACCTAAAGCTATATATAGTGGTACTTTCACATAATATCAAACTCTCCTCTCGTGCAAAATCGTTCCCTCTCCATATTAATAGATCACATATTCGATTCACGGCTTCTTTCGATTTAGTGGTTACTTAACAAAACCCGCAGAAAGTATCAATGTTTGACAAGCAAACACGTGAACAAACAACTAGAAGAGCATTTTTCATGGAAGAGTAGCAACTCAAATGTACCTGCACTGCTCATCAGAGCTAGAAGTGGCAGACAACAGCTCCTTTTTAGGCAACAATGCCTCTTGAGAGCTAGTAGAAACAACAATTGTCAATGGAGGAGTAGGTGTATTAGCATCAGCATCACTGGTAGATAGCTCCAATGCTGATGATGGCTGAGCCACTCTCTGCTTCTCAAGGTCGAGTTCATTGTTCTGATGGGCGCTGGTATTGGCCTTTACATCATTTGAATGGCAATCATTCAACATATTGAAAGGTCATTCAAAGTTCAAACTCCACAAACTTGAATCAATTGAACAAAAGTCTTTGCCCAATTTTGTCTCACCCTAAATTGAACAGAGAATTTCTGCAACTCAGTGTTCGTCCCATAACACCAATTAAAGAACAAACGAACAAGAAAAACAAGGCCAACCCACCAAAATTCTCAGTCCAAACAAACAAATGATACACACAATACATTGTGAAGATCGCATTAGATGCCGCATTTGAAGTTAGAAATCAGAAACAAGCCACAAGCCACAAAACCCAATTTCAGAAATCAAAACCCACCAACAAAATCAAACCAAAATTTCATCTACCAGTCCAAACAAACAACCGAGAAACAAAAACCCATTGAAATAGCCGCATTACACACAGAAATCAGAAACAAAATCACGAACAAGGCTAACAGAGCAACAGGAAAAAGATCAAGAACAAAAGGGATTAGAATCAGAAGGGGTCGTACCTGGGGAGACTCAGATTTGACCGATTGAAGCAGTAGAGAGGGAGAGCTGAAATGAGGAAAAAGAAGAGAAAAAATTCCAACCCGAGATTTCTTTATTTAGGTGAGAATTGAAAAGGAATTGCGTCGTGAATACTGGCCGCTTAGGGAAAAATGGATTTAACGCTGAATGAACTGAAAAAAACAAACAGAGAAACAAACGGACAAAAGAAAATCCAATTTATTTACGCAAAAAGATGCGTAAATTATGAGATAATTACAAAAGGGTATTGCTTTAAAAATTCAGTCGCCAAATCTCACTACCATATTGAAAGAGACCCGCAACCACTGTCCACGGCGACCCTTTTCAATTGCTTTTCTCAAATTCAAAAAATAATAATAATCAAAGAGACAAATGAGAACTTTCTTGAATTATTCCCATGATATATACTCTTTTTTATTGTGTTCATGTTGGTTGGGGTACAAATTCTTATTCCTCCACTCATTTTAATTAAATTAATCTTATTTTATCATAATAATTTATTTATTTGTTCTCTTATTAAAATTTTTTTAAAAAAAAACCTATTTTATTATTTTTAGTCAATGAGTTAATACTAAAAGAAAAAAAAAAACATGGGTCACTTTTAAATAAGTAGTTTAACTATTAAGAAACGATCTTCGAGCTAGGTTTCTTGGATCCCCGTATTTCTAGTCGGACCTGAAAAATAACGGATTAAATAGGTTAAGTATGCATTTATAATAGTATATATTCTTAACTATTACAACGTTTGGTTTAGATTGACAACTCAAAATTAAAACCAAGTTCGATTCTTGATCTCGTTTTACCACTCTATTGGGTTTGCCCCTCTTGAATCAGCAACACTGCCAAAAAAAAAAAATTACAAAGAACAGAACCCCATGTCTCAAATCTTTGTGGTTTCATCTTCTTAATTGATTATGATTTCTAGGGCTCATCTTGTTGTGATTCCTTCATCATTTGATCTTGAGTAGTAATTGTTGCAGTAATTTCCTCTGCCACCACCACTTTTGAAGCACAGCTCTCCATCTCTTTCTTCTTTCCCCATAGTAAAATGTAGAGTCCAATTATCACAATGACTGACCCCAACAAGCTGTTTCCGTCCATATCGCGATGAAATCGAGAATCGTAATATCATAACATGATTGAGAGATGGTATAAAAGCTTACCACTTATTGTGGACGTGTTTTTAATCATTCAAAGTCAGATCTTATTGCGTGCAACATCAAAAGCAAAAAACTAAAATCATTTTCAAACTTGTTGTTGAGGTAAATTACCTTCCGAGATGGAGTGGCTCGTGCAAGATGGGAATGTCTAACATGGCTGCCATTATTTGAACCAATGGGCTGAACGCTGCTGTGAATACTGGACCTCTCTTCTTAACGCACCACGACATTCCCACGAAGCATATTCCTGATCCGATCATCCCCTGTGTCGATGAGAATGTAACTATAAGAAGTCTATAGGTTAAATTACAAGTTTAGTCTTTAAACGTCTTCAATTCCTTGCATGCATGCAAATTGTGGCTCTGATTTTGTTGGGTTTGTGAAACTTACCGTGTACAAAACTGTGAGAATTTGAATCTTTCCGGTGAGAGCCCAAGCGGAGAGCTTTGCACCGGTGGAGAGGCTCAAGACGGCGGATTGGACGGCGCCGAAGCCGGACATAATGGCAGTGCTCGAATACTGGTACGGATATCTCTTCCCGATGTTCGATTGTAACAGAAACCACGACGACCAGAGTAGAGTTCCAGCCACCAGGGCTATGCACCCTACCGTCCAACTCTCCGCCGTCTTAGTCTTCACCTTCCCACCGACGGCGTGTGCGGCGTACGAAGCGTTCACCAATGCCGGCCCCTTGTACGTCGTCAATAGCACAGCGCCGGAGATGCACACCATCGTCCCAATCACCTTCGCTTTCCCACTGCTACATTTCAACTTCACCGACTCCAACCTGACCGGAGAAATTTTTTTATTAGCTCAACTTGGTCGGCGCCATAAATTTTTTCAGATTCAAAAAAAAAAAAATATCAAGCTTAGGAGTTAAGGAAAAGACTGTGTTCTAGGTCCACTTTTAAAAAGCTGCCAAGTAAAAGCGTTTGAAGTACAGTCGAAATCGACTCATTTGCCACGAGTCGAAAATTAACGAACTCGGGACAAAGAGAATCGATTCGATTGTTTAAAGTTAAGCTTTCAAGAGTCAGTTTGAAATGACTTTCCAGTTTCTAAACGGGCTGGAGCTAAATGTTTAGATACCCAAATGGGAGAGCAAGAAGAAAAGTGACGACAGGGACTATGTTGACAAATGCACAGGCGAAAGTGGCAGAGGTATGTTGGATGCCGAGAAGAAAGCAGTATTGGGTGAGTGAAGCCCTGAAAGAAACAGAGAACAGAAATCAATGGACAAATGAACAGAAAAATAGGCCTAAAAAGAGAGATGATTGAGGTTTTAACTGACCCAACAATGGCACTGAAGAACAAGTAACAGAGGATTCGAACAGAGAGATTGGCTCTGCCGTCCCTATAAACCCAAAAAACAGAGTAAAACAGAGCAAAACAGAGCAAAAAGGATCATAAACCAGACGATACCCAGAAGCCAAAAAGAAATAACTGGTTGTGAGAGATTACTTCTCGGCGAAGTAGGCAATGGGAGCCAAGGAAATGGCAGCAATGGAGAGACGATAAGTGATGAGAACCAAATGGTTCATTCCATGATCAAGAACTGTCTCGAGCAGAATATTCACGATGGCGAAAGCAAAATCTATGGCTACCATCACCATCAAAGGCTTGCAATCCTTTAAACCCTTCATTCTAAATAAACCCATCACTCCAAAATCCCAACTTTTCCCTTCTTTTTTGGTTCTTCACAAATTTGCTCAAACTTAGAAAGCTTCACAAAAGAGCAGCTCTCTGTTCTTGCTCTGTTCTTGTTCTTGGTCTGTGGGAGAAATTAAATGGAGTGATCCCAAGGGAGAGGGGGGGCTGATAAGCCTGTAGAATAAGTGGGCACAAAGCAAGATTAAAATTCCTTTAAATCACATCAATGTCTTTAAGCAACCACAGCTTTCATATTTTTTATTACAAAAAATATAACTTTAATTGTCCAATTTATTCTCTCCTCCCTCTTCTCCCCTTTTCAACTAACAACAAATAAATAAATATGTGTTACCGAATAAATAAGAGGTACATAAATTAACTTATATCACGTCATAATGAAAATGTAACAGTTCAAGCCCACCGTTAGTCGATATTTTTCTCTTTAAATTTTTCCTTTCGAGTTTCCCTTCAAAGTTTTTAAAACGTGTTTGCTATGGGAGGTTTCCACACTCTTATAAAGAATGTTTCGTTCTCCTATCCAATCGATGTGAGATCTCACAATCCTTCCCCTCCCCTCAATCCCACAATTCATGCACTTCGAGGTCCAACGTCCTTGCTGGCACTTGTTCCCATCTCCAATCGATGTGGGATCTCACAATCCACCCACCTTTGGGGCCTTGCGTCCTCGCTGGTACACTAAACGTTTTTAAAATGTGTTTACTAAGGGGAGGTTTCCACACCCTTATAAAGAATACTTTGTTCTTTTCCCCAACTAACGGGGATCTCACAGAAAGTAATCGTAAGGATAGAATGACTAAGAAAGGCTTAAAAGAATAGAAAGTTACTACCTACACCAATAAGGTGCAGTTTTTTTTTCTGATGATTCAATCATATGAATTTTTCGAAGATACATATTAGAGAGGATAAAACATGCTAGAAGACTCAATTGATCTGTGGAGATAATCTTCACTCTTAGAAGAAATGAGTAAGTAACGTGATCATATCGTAGAAGATGTAGGACAATGTTGCGACCATCAAGTACCGAATCTAAATCTTGGACATGAGTCGTTACTAAAACTCTTTAATTTGTATTTTATTTTTGTTCGACAAAAGACGTAAAATGGAAGGCATATATACAAAGCTATATATTAGCCTTTTGTAAGGGGTGGTGGAGAAGAGAAGTTTAATATATTATTTGATCTCTATGGTGTTATACTCCCAGTGTACATTTAAACATATTTAAAATGGTGTATTTTCTTTTCCCATTTTTTTGTCCATTTTGTGTCATATCGCAACTTTTTTATTTTGTGGTCTAAATTTAAAGAGCTTTTTGATACTCTTTGCATGGAAGTCAATGAAGAAGAAGAAACTAAGAGGGAATTAGGGTTTGAATTAGGGTTTGAATTAGGGTTTTGAGTTCCAAGAAGAGAGCTTTATAAACACTTGCTTTTAAGAGGTGAGAAAGTGGGGATTTTTAGGGTTTAAACATGAAGAACAATACGTCAAATCTTAAAGGGTTTTTGTTGAAAAGAAAAAAAAAAAAACATGACAAGTGTAAAGCTAAAGCCAAAGTCTCTTGCACCATGTCTCCAACTTGTAAAGATATTGTTTTATTTTATGAATATTATTCAAATATTATTCGAAGATATGAAAACATCGTAGATTATTGCTTATGAAACACGTTTTATTATCCTCTTATTTAAAATTTAAATTAGGATTCGAAATCTGATGGTGTCCCCACTCACATAGAATTTTTATGATTGAGTCGCTGAAAAACTTAGTCATCTTATCGATCGGTCTCATTCAGATGTGGTATCATTCGTCATTCTCTCTCACTTACATCAAAATGTAGTCTCGGACATATTCTAAACCAAAATTGAGAAATGTCATACCCATGTCTTTGGTGTTTGTTTTCTCTCATATGGTGGTTTATGAGTCTATTAAATTAGTCGTTCTTTTAGGTATCTATCTTAAGCGGATTGACGCAACTGCCATTTAGGTTATTTTGGTTGATTTACTTATTGTTCTTTTTTGGCTTTTTCTTTTATGTTTTCCCTCAAAGTTTTAAAACGCGTCGAGTAGGAATAGAATTTCACATGTTTATAAGGAATGATCCACCACATATCTCTATAAAATAACATTGTAAAATTTAAGCATAAGAAGCTACATGACGTTGTTTTTTTTTTGTTTTACCCCGAAAGCCTCAAACAAAGTTAATTTCTCTTGTATGAAGCATACTATTTATCTAATAAAGCTCAACTATAGGGATGTATACAAGTTGGGTTGAGTTGGGTTGGAGAAATCTTTTGGACCAACCCAAAAGCTCATGGTAATTGGGTTGGTGACTCGAATAATTTGAA